TGCCACAATCAGACCTGAAGATAGACTGAAATGTTTCTTAATTATTCATATCATAGCCTTGCAGAAAAATAATTTCTTTTGAACTTGTTGGGAGAGGGATAACTATTATTTACCTAAACAAGTTTCATGGATACAATCTGATATAGCCCATGAGGAGTGCAACTTTGTGCAGCACACTATCACAACAAATCCCTCTTGCATCCAGTTTCATATATTTCTTGCTTTCCACAAACATTTTCCAATGCAATTAAGTAATGGAGAATGAGTTGTTGTACATGACATTTAATTTTCAGTGGCTAGGAAAAATAAGGGGAATCAAGATCATTAATCTCTTCTAGATGCATTGAATTGCCAACGTTAACAACTAATTCTTCATTTTACTAGCTCTGCTCCCCTTAGACATATGGGATTTAGTCAGATGAAATTCAGCATTCTTTTTCTTGTTGTTGTTAATTGGTTTCAAGTAGATTTCAACTTATGGCAACCTCATGAATAAAAGACTCCAGGTCATCCTATCCTCAAAAGCCCTGCTCAGATCTTGCAGACTCAGATCTGTTTCTTCCTTGATTGAGTCTATGTATGTGGAATGCAGTCCTGCTTTTTTTCCTACTGCCCTCCAGCTTACCAAATATTATTGTCCTTTCTAGTGAGTCCATCTAATTATATGACCAAAATACAATAGCCTCGGTTTAGTTATCTTGGATTCTAGGCAAAGTTTGGGCTGGACTTATTACAGGATGCATTTTTTGTCTATTATCATTCCATGATATCTGCAGATTTCTTCTCCAGGACCACATCTCAAATTTAGTTGATTTTCAGGCTTACACTCTATTTTCACTTACAAATGTAAGTATTTTTGTCATTTGACTTGCTGTCTGTTTTCTTTGGAAGCCAAATCACAAGTACCAAAATGAAGTTTTTGTTGTTTTCCTCCTGAAATACTCCAGAAAAAAAAACCCCAAAATTAAAGTTTCAGAATATTGACAGATACAACTCAATTTATGAAGTGTCTATCAGAGAAGCATTAAACTACTACTTGACAGATACAGAGAAGGTTTCTTAGAGTATAGTTTTTTGAAGCTTAACACCCATCCATACCAGCTAGCATGGCCTGTTTTGAGCCTTCTACAACACACAGTAGAATCCTGTAAGAGAGTTACAGTTTTATAAGGTCCTTAGCCTTTTCTGTCAAAAAGTGCTAAACTCCAAATCCTGGGATTCCATAGCATTTATGCATGACAGTTAAAGCCATGTCAAATCGCATTACTTCTCCAGTATAGATGCACCCCGTATTGCTTCACCATCCTCCTAATAATAATGCTAGACAGAAGACAAAGGAAAAAAAGGGGATGGGTACAGGTAAAAGCAGATTCTTTCCTTTCCTGCCTTCCTCTAGTGGCAGTTAGCCTATTGGTATTCCACAGATATGATACGCCATCTGTGATGTGAGCTATTTTGCTACCAGCAAAATAATGCTTTAAAGCAGATAAATTCCCTCTTGTCATTGACACAAGTTACAGATCAACTAATAATACTTTATTAACCTCTTGGCAAGGTCTTAGTAGCAATGACTCAGATACTGAGAACCTCAGGTGGAGTTCTGATCATGCAGCAGAACTTTCCTGTCTATTTCTCCTGTTTTCATGAAAAGATTATTTTGAGCTTCAGGGGTCACTCCAAAATACAATATGATATATCACTGAGGGTTGAAGTTATGTCAGAAGAACACAAGAAACAGCAAAACCCATGTTCATATCTAGGCAAGTTCATAAGGCAGAGACTCCTCTTGCTCAAGCTAGGGTACTACTAAATCTGAGCCAATAAATAGAGTAATATTTACTTAACAGAAAAAAAGCTGATAAGCAATGTAGACTCTAAAAAACACCAGTAAAATAGAAGGCACTTCCCAAGGAATTAAGTCGCCAAAGATTAATATAGGTCAGCAACGATGAATATAGGGACTCTATCCTATAATGGTGGTGGGGGAAAATCATAATATTACTATGGCGTTATGTCCCATAGTGTTATAAAGGACATCTTTCTGTTTCTCATTCCTCTTTACATGTTGTCTTTTCTTGGCAGTTTTACCCAAAATTATCAGTTTTCAGAATTATCCCATGAGCTAGTGTAGTCTCTACTCACTCAATTTTAAAAAAAGAAAAATCCTTGGGGGAAAAGCTTATTGGATACTTGACTTTCTCCTCTGATCCTGCTATGCTAGATTAGACCCAAGCAGTTGATCTTACATCAGATCCCACTTGAGGGGAAACATGACTTTCCTCTTCATCCTGCTGCTCTACATAGACCTAAGCACCTGATCTTCCACCAGACCCCACTTGGAGGGAAACCTGACTTTCTCCTCCAACCCGTAAGTTCTACATGAGACCCGAGCAGCTGATCTTACACCAGAACCTTACTTGGAGGAAAACCTGACTTTCCCCTCTGATCGTACTACTCTAGAGTAGTCCCAAGTAGCTGATCTTATACCAGACACCACTTGAGGAGAAACCTGACTTTAAAAATTATCATGCCAGGCTCATTAAGCACGATTTTGAGAGAGAAATGTCAATGCTTGGTAGCAGACTGTCCACAGAAATGCTCCCTACTTAACATCACAGAAGCCATTCAACCCGGGCAAATTTGATAGCTCCTATCCCACAAGGTTTTGGTTGTTTTTTTCAGTTATACCCCAGTTCCGGAGTCCAGCAAATGATCTCTGACCATCTTCTCTACCCTCCCTTTACTGGGGACTGTTTGAGATGTTTCCCTGATGAAGCAGGATGGAAGCTGACATAAATCGTAACCTCAATGGATTTTATGTGTTTAGAAATATGGGGGAGTGGTGGCAGTGTGAGATAAAGGCTATAGGTTAGGAAAATGACTGTGGCCCTACAAACAAAATCCTATCTATTATGTGCTGGTAACTGATCCAAATTCAGTCCCCAAAGAAAAACTGCCAGAATTATTTATTGCTAGTTCAAGTTGCTTCCCCTCCTTTTACAAAGATAAAGTACAAAAACAAAACAAAACAACCTGAAGAGCTGAAAACCACACATACTTTAGACCGGCAAGGAGAACAAGAAAAGAGATCCTGCCCTCCCTCCTTCCTCCGGTCTTCTTGCTTTCTGTTTGCAATGCTATCTTTCCTACCTCCCATGGCCTATAATAAATATAATGGAGCCCCGGGTGGCACAGTCGATTAAACCCTTGTGCCAGTAGGACTGCTGACTGACATGTCAGTGGTTTGAATCTGGGGAGAGCAGGTTGAACTTCCTCTGTCAGCTTCAGCCCCCCATATGGGAACATGAGAGAAGCCTTGCCCAAGGATGGTAAAACATCAAACATCCAGGCATCCCCTGGGCAACGTCCTTGCAAATGGCCAATTCTCTCACACCAGAAGCAACTTGCGGTTTCTCAAGTCGCTCCTGACATGAAAATAAATAAATAAATAAATAATATGTAGAAACTACACTTATGCTACCTCTTTTTGGTAAGACCTTCAATGTGCTCTTTTACAACTTGAATGCTATTGTATCCTATCCTATCTGATTTGTCATCAATCCACTCATTTTGGCTTCACACAAATCTACCATTTTCCAAAATATACGATCCTGTGCTTTTCTTTTCCATTACTGGTCAAACAGCTTAACAATTGGTTCATCTAATCAAATATGAGGTCTGCCCAAGGGCCGTTTGTGGTCTCTTGGTATCCAGCTGCAAATATTACTGGATACTGGATTTATTAGTGTTAGCATCAGCTATGTTAAATGTACTTACTAACTACCAATCTGCATATTTTCAGAAATCATGTTTCTTTGCTTTTTAATATACATTCTCTCCCTGCATTGGTCTAACCTGAGGCCATTTTTTCTTCTCCTTCTGTCTCTTCCATTGGACTATGACTCTGACAAATATTTAAAGCTCACTTAATATATTTTTTTTTTTACAAAAAAAGAGACTAAACTAGCTTGTTTTTGTTACACTCAGTGAGTCGATGAGCAGGTATGGATCTGGTTGCTGTTCAGCTTCTGCCTCGCCAAGCTGATTACTTTGCTTGAGATACCCAGCACTATCAGATTTTCCCAAAAGGTAGTAGATGAGGATAGTAGAGAAACACTAGGTAAGAGTTGTTCCTCTTCCAAAACAGTTGATTTGTGACACAACTTTAGCTATTCAAATGTGAAAGGGCAAACACAAGCAGATGGCTTATCTGTAAAGATATAGATATTTTCTACCTGAGAATCTGAGAGTGAAAGGAAGCCTTTCTCTCCATAAGTAACATATCTGGCTGGAACAAGATGAACCCTTTATTGGTTAACAAATTATGTATAATCCAACAGATACTATAAATATAAAATATCTCAACTCTATCCAAATATATTTTAAGGATGTAGATGCATTGTAGGTTTAGATTACAGTATTCCATTTCTCACTGGAGTTAGAATATTCATATATATTTTTCAAGAGTTTGCATCCTTAACATATTAAAACAGACTTATACTGGAGTTTTGGATTTACTAGTGACCATTATGAAAAACAAGACCATTTTAAAATAAGGAATATGTATTGCTGTTACAGTCATTAAGAACATTAAAAGGAAATTAGGTTTATTTATATTGCTGTCCCATTCCACCAAAAGAACTCAAGAAATTAATCCAATTTGTCTAATGCAATTCCATTTCGTCTTAGGATAAAGTGGAGTGTCCTTCTCATATTTAGTTTGGTTTAAGATCCTAAATCAGGTTATGCTCTAAATGGTCTGCTAAAACTTCAAAGTGAGCTATAACTCCAAAGCAGTTTACAAGGACATACTAGTTGTTGGTTGAATCAAATGGCCACAGTATCAGAATGAGAGACTATATCATAGAAAGAATTTGAACTGTGAAATTTAAATGGTTTGCTCTCAGATTTTACTATGAAACCAGATTTCCCTTATTTTTGCACTTTCCATTTTAGGCCAGTAATAGAGGGACCAGCGCTAATGATGATGCCATGCTTACCGTATAAATACCAGTTTGACCTTTGATGGTGCAGTCTTAATTATTGCAGAAGCATTCTGATGACTTCTTCCATATAAAATCTGGTTATTTATCTGTTTTAACAAAGAACATTTAACACAATTACAGAGAGTTAAGCATTGCTTTGTATTTTCATTATGTCACCACTAACCATAGAATTCCTCCCCACCATAACACACACTTGTTACTTTAATCTTACCTTCAGTCATAAGCAAGAATAAAATAAAATAAATGAGGATTGCTATTTATTCCTTGAATGGCAAGACTTTAGTATTGGAACAACTATGGCATGATGATAACCTTGGGACTAAGATAAATGGTACAAACATAGTTCTACTACTTCAAATCAAACTACAAAATGAATGAGAAATATAGAAGCTGCAAACACTGTAGCATGGAATAGATATAAATCCCATTTCCTGTGAACCTATTACACTGTCATATCATATCAGCTTTCCTCCCATTACTCTTTTTCTTTCAGAAGAAGAGATCAGTATTCTGCAGGGCTCTTTTTTCAAGGCATAACTGCAATTTTTTAGTATGACAGTGTGCAGAAATGCATGAAGAGCACATATACTCAATCTTAACATTTTTGAGTGCATGTTCCTAGTAATCTACCAATCTAGCAGTGCTCCATGTGAAGCCAAGTTAAACACTGATGTTAACAAAACTTGTGCTGGCATGCAAATCAAACCCTAATTTTCTATAATTATTTTAAGAAAGTCTAGAAAAGGAGCTCTACAACACAGCTCTGTACATATTGTCTTTGAGGTAAGTCACCTTTTGTTCAGCAAAAGGTGACTTAGGTTTATGGAAGAGGAATCAGATTATAGCCTTAGTTGTTATGATGTCACAAAATGTATTGCATTTGCTGCAACAGACTTGAATATTCATTGTAACATGAACTTACATGGGACACTTTATCAAACGCATAGGAAATGATAAATCTAAAAAAAATTAATGCTATTTCCCAGTGTTAACAGAGACATGAAATTACAGTAAGGGCTTGAATTTTGGTAGTTCTAATGAGAATAGACCCACTGAATAAATGTGTTTTATGTTGACCAAACATTTGAGATCTGATTCAGTGAGTGTACTTTAGTTAGGACTCATTATAAGTAATGAAGAGACAAATGAGAGGGATGAACAGCAAAGCTCAAGGGAGAAGGTAAATAAAAGGAACTACCAGCTAGGAGACATAACAGGTGAATTATGAACAAAGATTAAAACAAGATTTAACACAAGGGCAGCCTTAGGAAGCAAACTCTCAAAATGGGAAGGCAGACATGGTATATAAGGTAATGAACGCTGAATTGTAGCTACATATCATGATGTGGAGGATCATTATCCCAGGGAATTATCTCAAGAGGATGGTAGGTTACATACCTGTGACCATCTTTCTTCGAGTGGTGCTCTGCGAATTCACACTTGTGGAGAGACTGCGCCTGCGCGGGCTCCAACGGAAACTTCTACAGTTTAAACTTTTCAAGTTTTGGCGGTAACCCCGCCCAGCCCCGGCAGGGGATAAAAGGGCGCCCCGCGCATACCGACACAATTCCTACGCCGCTACGGCAGCGAGAAATTGGAGGTTTGACTGAGGGGAGGCTGGGCGGGTTAGTGTGAATTCGCAGAGCACCACTCGAAGAAAGATGGTCACAGGTATGTAACCTACCATTTTTCTTCGTGGTCTCTGCGAATGCACACTTGTGGAGACTAGCAAGCTCAGGTCCCGGAGGCGGGAAGAAGGCAAACCGACCAATAAAGTCAAGGGCCAAACAATTTTATTAAGTGCAAACAGTTACTGAACAAGAGATTGTAATCACTTCCTAAGAAGGGCACAGTGCATAAACTTATGGGAGTACGTGATCCTCCCGGCCACGTGAGGATGGCCAATTCACAGTGAAAGACACTCAACAAGTGAGAGCGAAGATGAGCTGCCGATGGCGTCGGATTAGCGGGTAGGCCACTGTGCCAGCTGGGTCTCTCCATCGGGCCCCCTTCCTCTCTGAGAGAGTGCTAGGCCGCGCTGCCATCTCCCTTGCTGCCATCTCCCCCCTCCCTTGCCATCCGGGAGGGGGTGAAGAAGAGCCGGCACAGCCGCAGCCTGTTTTGGCCCCTCCGCCCATCTGGAAGGGGCCGCGGAGGAGCGCTAGGCCGCGCTGCCATCTCCCTTGCTGCCATCTCCCCCTCCCTTGCCATCCGGGAGGGGAAAGAAGAGCCGGCTCAGCCGCAGCCTGCTTTGGCCCCTCCGTCCATCTGGAAGGGGCCGCGGAGGAGCGCTAGGCTGCGCTGCCATCTCCCCCTCCCTTGCCATCCGGGAGGGGGTGAAGAAGAGCCGGCACAGCCGCAGCCTGCTTGGCCCCGCCGCCCATCTGGAAGGGGCCGTGGAGGAGTGCTAGGCCGTGCTGCCTGCCCCCGCCCTTGCCATCCGGGAGGGGGTGAAGAGAGCTGTTCCATCTGGGAAGGGGTCGCAGAGAGGACACCAGACACGCTGCCATCGCCCCCTCCCTTATCATCCGGGAGGGGTGAAGTTTGGACCAGCCAGCTGCGTCCTTCGTCAACCTCTCCTGTTTTAGAAGGGGCCGAAGAGCTCCAGGAAGCTGCTGCTCAAGTGCTCAAATGTTTTGCACCGGGAAGGAACTGTTATCGCCATCTGTCTCTTTTTTGTTGTTTGTCTATTTTATTTTTCTCTATTTTTCCTACTTTACCTTTTTGGCTAGTTGTTATTTTTAGTTCTTAGATAGAGGATAGTTGGCTGTATGTTATATGTCGTTTGTCTTAATTGCTGAGTGTAGGTAAGGAGGTCATAGAGATTTTAGGTCTGATAGTAGAGGATAGGATTGCCGGGGTGGGTTAGGGAAGAGGCCCAGGAGGACGCATGAGACTGTCTGTGATATAGAAGTGACTACATAGGAAGGTGTGGATGGTAGCTGGGTGTGTTTAGACTAAGTGTTGTGATAAAGTGACTCATAGGAAGGTGTGGATGATTGCTGGTGTGTTTAGTCTAGAGAGAGAGTGTGTTGGCTTAGTTTAATTGGCTCGAGTGAATTGTGGGAGAGGGAGGAGAGTGTGTCATAGGAAGTGTGCATGATTACTGGGCGTGATTAGTTTAGCGTGTGAGAGTGTTGTTTAGTGTGGCTGTTAGAGTGAATTGTGGGAGGGAGAGGAGTGTGCGGATTCTTGGAGTGCCTGGGAGGGGCTGATTGTGTTGGAAGTAAATGTGAGTGAAGTGGTTTTGAGCGTGGTGAGAGTTACTTCTAGACATAGGAATGGGTGAAGCAGAACCTCATGCGAAGAATGATCTTTTGCACTTTTACGACCTCCTGAGGGAATCGTTTAACCATGTGTTATTACAACTCAGGTTTTTAAACGAGAAAATGGACCACCTCCTTAGAGGTTTTGCCTCTTTCTCAGGAATTCCTGTGCAATCCTTTCCCCTAAAGACTGGGAACTCTTCGTGTGCAGATCTAGCTAAGGACTTGTGCCAAAATGGGGAGAAAGGCACGTCGGTTCTTGGGGTTCTTGGGGCTGAACGAGGAATGAATGATGAGTTGGCTGAGGGAAGGGGAGAATCTTTGGGCAGTCATAGGACTGAGAACATCGTGGAGTGGCAGCGGTCTGTGATGGCCGCTCAGAGGACGATCAACAATACAACAACAGACCTTTTGGTTCAGCCAACCGCAGCCTGCACTCAGGATCAACATCTACAAACTGACATGTTTGCGGTGGACATTGCTGACCAAATGGTAAACAGAGGCAGATGGACCTCTAAGAGGGCAGTTTGTAACTCCTTGGCCCAAATCCTGGGTAAAAGACCACAGGAAATAAGACTAGAAGCCATAGTGTGGTTATGGAGGGACTACCAATCATCTGACCGTTCCTCCCGTCTTCAAATAACACCAGAAGACAACTCATGGCTCGGAGAGCTTATGGCAAAGCGCTCTGTCTTAAAGAAATGGGGCATTACCATTAGGAGGGTAGTTGTGGACCCTCAGATACGCCCCTTATTTGCCTCCGGGGTTCCTTCTCGCCATACTCCATCAGGTCCCCGTACATCCACAACCAGCTCACCGATTAGGGCCCCCCCTCCTGGTTCGTATAATTTTGAGACTCCATCTGTCCCGGTCGCCCCCACTCAACCAGCTACACTCCTTCGCTCGAGAACACTTCCCTTATTCAGTCCACTCAGCTCCCTTGATGTTTCATTATCTACCTCATCATCAGAAACATCTCTACCTAACGCCCAAGGGAGATTATTTCCCAGCCCGACCTCGTCCTCTGAGAGCTGACTAGTTACAGATCTCGGCCATGGAGGGGGGGGAGGGTTCCGGAGGAAGGGGGTGCCATTCAAGTCGTGTGGGGGAGGAGAATAGCAGGTCACCGATATCCCAGGGAGAAGCGCAACAGAGTTCTTGCGACCCTGGAGAAGGTAGGTAGTGGTAGGCTCCATGGCAGCCCCCTTGGTCTTAAGGTCCTGCTGATTAATGCCAGATCCGTTAATGGTAAGACCGCGGCCATCCAGGACTTGATCCTGGATGAGAGGGCGGATCTGGCATGCATCACCGAGACCTGGCTGGACGAGCTGGGGGGAGTAAATCTCACTCAGTTGTGTCCACCAGGTTTCGGAGTGCATCAGCAGGCCAGACAAGGGGGGCGGGGAGGAGGGGTCGCAGTAGTCTTTCGGCAATCCATCGCCGTGATCAGATGCGCTGTCCCGCAGGCTTCTGGGTTTGAGTGCGTCCACTTGAAAGTGGGGTGCCGTGACAGTGTGGGGTTCCTGCTGGTGTACCGCCCACCCCGCGACCCAGTAGTTTCCCTGTCTGAGCTAGCGGAGGTGGTCTCTAATTCGGCCTTGGTCTCCCAGCGCCTGGTGGTGCTGGGAGACTTTAACATCCACGCCGAGACCACCCTATCTGGTGCAGCTCAGGATTTTATGGCCACCATGACGACCATAGGACTGTCACAAATAATATCTGGTCCCACTCATCAAGCTGGACATACTCTTGACCTTGTTTTCGTGGCGGACAACGAAATGATTAGAGTGGAAGATCAAAACATCCTTCCGGTGTCATGG